AAAAAAAAAAAGTCTTAAAAATATTAACAAATCTAAATTATAGTATATACTAAAATTCAGCCTTAAATTTTTTTGTAGAAATTTCAATTGAACCCCTTAAAAACTACTCTCTCTCTCTCTGTCTCTCTCTCTAGATTTCTCGATCGAACTACCTTGGCGTGAGCTTCCCTCACCGAAATAACTTCTCCAAGAAAACCCCCCTTTTCTCATCTCTCTCCTCTCTTGCCATCTCCCATGGCCTTTTTACCTCAAAATCACTTCCAACAATTCATTCAGCAGCCATCTTCACAGCCCCAACAATCTAAGCCTTACAGGTAACAAAAACCCCCAAACAGCTGAGTTATTCCAACAGAGATCCATTTTTTTTTCTCTCTCTCTCTCTCTCTTGGGATTTTGAATTTTCTTCAATTTATAAGATTCCTCTTTTAATCGATTTTATCATCTTGTTGTTCATAATCTCGTTTCTGTTTCTCTTCTCAATTTTGCAGGGATATGTATAACAACAACATGGAGGGTCAGATTTCACAGCAAGTTGCCTACTTCAACACCCCTAATCTTCTTGATCACCACCCACCTTATATCCCTCCTTGTAAATTCTCTAATATTTCGTTTTAATTAACTAATTTGATGGGTTTCTTGGGAATTTGTCTTTCTTCTTTTGTGCCTGAAAAAATTCTCAAATTTTCAGTTGAAGTGGCTGGATTGGCCCCAGGCCCGGCACATGAGGAGAACGGGCCGGATCCACAGTGGAATTTCGGGCTCGAGCAGAAGAGAAAGACACCAACGGAGCAAGTTTTCCTTGAGAACAGTATTAATATCAACAACAGCAATAATAACTCTCAGCTGTCATCTGTGGATTTGTTGCAGGCCCGGTCAGTATCTACCGGGCTGGGCCTCTCGTTGGATAATCCTCGTTTGACTTGTTCTTCGGGTGACTCGGCTTTGATCGGGCTTGTCGGGGATGGTCTTGATCAGGAGTTGCAGAGACAGGATGCCGAGATTGATAGATATATTAAGCTTCAGGTGATAAAATGTGTGCTTTTCTTTTCTTAATTCTTATGTTTGGAAATTGATTTATTTCTAGTTTGAAGTGTTGGTCTGTGATGATTAGATTACTTCTCTTTCGGATATTAGCTTGTTAATTGGAAGATGATTCTTGATTAGTACTTATAATTTATACTTTAACTTGAAAAACCTAATGCTATGACTTTGGGATGGACCGTTCCTTGAATGCGAGCGATTGTTTATTTACCTCTAAGTGGAAACTCTGGCTATTCTATTCATAATCACAAGCAGTTTAGGCATGAACTTATACTAGTTATCTCAAAATTATCATTGTTGTGGATATTATTCTACTCTAAATTCAAGATCTTCTGACTTTGAATGTTCATAAACACTAAACCGGCATCACATGCAAAGTTAGAGCTTAATATACTTTAGAACGATTCGAAAATCTTTTTTGTTGGTTGGAATTAACTCTGATGCGATTAAAACAATTAAACTCTCGACATTGACCTGTATGTAATTATTCTGTGGTAGGTGTGTTGTTTTTGCATTTTCAGCATATCTATTGGCTTAGTTGGGTTCTAATGCAGTTGTATTTGTTTTCCAAGATGTCATTGAAGATTTGTGTCATAGTCTACAGAACAGTGTCGATTTTCTATAGAATGATCACTTTTCAAGACAACATAACCAAACATGTGGAAAATGGATTTGGCTCTTTGTTACTGTTGCCGAAGTCGAGCACCGTTTGAGATATTTTTGGTTTGTCCTTATAATACATGTTACTCACTCTTAATCACAACTCGATTCTTTCAAAAACTCAAATGGTATCATTGTGGTTAAGTGCACAGAACCATCTTTACTATCTATAAGTACACAATTCCACTCCGGGAGGAATAAGAAAACAAAGGAAGAACAAATATTTCCTTTCTCACTTGTAACAATCATATTTCCAGATCTAGAGACATTAACTAGCTGGCTTAGATAGATTCGTTTGTATATATAGTATCGCTTGTTTCCTCAAAATGAACATTGTTATATTTTTTTCATTCTCGAAACAAGTTTACGTACTTGAATTCTTTTTAGCCCACTCATGCGGTAAATTCCCATGAGAAGTGCAGTAACTCTCTAACTCTAAGGATCGAAGCCAACTATAATATTTCGTAAATGTGAAGGGGTTATGTTTTGATTATACGTAAGATAAAATGAAAACTCTACTGCACATTCACTTTTGGTAATTTTGATTATGTGTTGTCCTTTGTTTTTATTTTAATATATCATCATTTCCATTTCTGGACACTAATTTTTCTTTCTCCGTTAACCGAACAATCTTTTCGGATTAAAACATCTCGCCTTTTTTTTCTGTTTTCTTTTATTTCTCTGTAGGGTGAACGCCTTCGGCAAGCAATCCTCGACAAATTCCAGGCTACCCAACTCCAAACCATGTCATACATCGAGGACAAAATTGTCCAAAAGCTACGGGAGAAAGAATTCGAGGTTGAGACCATCAACAGAAAAAACGCCGAGCTCGAGGCACGCGTGGAGCAGCTGGCATTAGAGGCCAACGCCTGGCATCAACGTGCCAAACAGAGTGAAAACACCATCAACACCCTAAAGCTCAATTTACAACAGATGTACGCCCAGAGTCGGGATAGCAAAGAAGGGTATGGAGATAGCGAAATTGACGACACCGCCTCGTGCTGCAATGGTCAACCAGTTGACTCTCGCTCTCCGGCGATGACGTGTAAGGTGTGTGGTGTGAATGAGGTGTGCATGCTCCTGTTGCCATGTAAGCATTTATGTTTATGCCGGGATTGTGAGGGGAGGGTGAGCGTGTGCCCCTTGTGCCAGTTGTCAAAGTATATAGGGATGGAAGTTTATATGTAGTGATGTGAATCTTTAATGTGTGACGTGCAGTTTGACCTTTGACTATCATCGTATTGTTGTGGATTTATTAAGTGTGGCATGAGATTTTAGCGTGTGAGGTTGTGCTGGGATGAAGTTTAGTCGTGTATGGGGAAGACGACTTATACATGAATCGAACTTCTAATTTTTATTTTTTTTTTCCTTTTTATTTTTGGGTACATTTTGATTGTCTAACGGGAATTTCGCTTGCACCAAGCTATGTTACCCGGACTCGCCACCTACCTCCGGCGTACCCGTGTCGACACGACACGACACGGGTACTGGTACGAAATCCGGCTCCGATCCGGTCAAAAGAGGCCGGATACGTTGACCACGGGTGGTTGTCAGGGCGGGTTGAAGGTTGAAGCTCGGCTGTGGAAATTGTGACGGGAGAATGCTGACGGGCGTCTGAAGTTGGAAGGGCAAGAACGGATTTGAAGTTGGATAGGCAAAACGGATCTGAATTTTGAAGTTGGAAACTTGGAAGGTTGGAGAAGACGACTGTTGAGACTTGCTTGAAATGCGTGAGCGGCTGCTGCTGACATCTAGGTTAATTGAATGGGGCTGCCTGCTTGTTAATTAAGTGTACAGTACATGGGCTTTATATCTACATCAACAAATGGGCTTTTTTTTTTTTTTTA